TTATTATTATTATTATTATTATTATTATTATTATTATTATTATTATTATATTTGTTGTTGTTTATAATTTGAGTGAATTTTTTTTTTAGCCATATACAAATGGCTAACACAAATTTTAGCCATATTTTGAAAAAAACACTCTTTTTAGCCATTTTGGCACCTGAAATGACAAAAATATCCTTACTACCTATTTTTTCAAAAAAAAAAAAAATATAAAATTCAAATTTTTTTATTCAGAGCCTTTTTTTTATTAGACTGGTAGTTATACCTAGAATGAGATTAATCTGTACCTATTTGGAATTCTTTGTCAACCATTTCATTAATGGTATTTTTTTTCAATAATGGAACGGTTATGTCCATTCCCCGTCTAATATTCATAGCCCTACAAGCCCGGTAATAATTAAAATTCCAAAAAGAAAGAGTAAGCATGGAATACTGAATATGCTATTGCAATAGAGTAAATAAAATTTTAGAAGAGATAAGTAGTGTCCTTTATTCGCATAATAAAATAATAGAAACAATGGGCCCATGAATATGCGGCACCCTTCAACCTATTTTATGCTGGCCCGAAACTGATTTCTAAACAGATTGTGTATATATTTTCAATATAGATGTGTGTATATATTAACAGCTTACTACTTAAATTTAGAATCTCGTCTTTGGATGTCATGTTCTCGTGGAAAGTATTCTCTATAATTATTTCATTATATAAAAAGTAAATCCTTGATTAAGAAATAATAATAATATTTGCAATTAAGAATATACAAATTCTTCTGCCATTCCTATTTGTTCCAATATCTCATAGTTATTTCATAACGAGCGAAATAACATATAAAATATATATTAAATTATTATATATTATAAAATAAAAATTAATCCCTCCTATTTTTATTATTTGTCATTCTGGTTTAATTGATCGTTGATTAAATAAATGTTGTTTTGGCTATTTTGTTCATATTTTTCCATTTTTAACCATACATCTAATAGACCGTGTCTCCTCATATCTCATCTTCATCTTTCCCATAACATCCATTAAATAAGGTTAATATTGGCAAGAAAAAAAAAATCTTAATTAACGTGTTGCTTCTCAAAACGACAAATAATAAAAATAGCAGAGAGTAATACTTATAACTATTTTTGTACGATAATCATTCTAATTTAATTTATATAAATTATCATTATTGTAATGTATATCACACGATGACTATGGTTTCTTACATGCCTTTACCTCTATTGTATCAAACAATCTATGAAATTTGTCCCTTAATAGAGCCATTTTGTGGAGCCCAAAATTATGAAGGCATAAACTTTGAAGAAAACTAGGTAATGAGAAAAAGGCGCACAAAGTCCTAAAGTTTTTTTTTTTTTTTTTTTTCTTCTTTTTTTAAAAGGAGGATAAAAAATGTCCTAAAGTTATTGCAATCCCAAATATAGGTAGCTATGTAATAGTAATATTGAAGCACAAAGTTGTCCTATTACTTATTTAATTATTCTAAGTTTCTAACATATTACACGAGAGATTTTTACCGGGACAAGTTGTCGGGTATAATTTTATTTCAAGTACACTATTATTAGGTCTAAGTTATATTTTTTCAAGAAATATTTACTTTTATTGGCCCAATTCTTATGCTATAATACAATTTATTAATCCTACACGTGAAATAGGGTAACATTGTTCAGAATATTACCTATGCCATCCGTCCTATAAATTCTTTACCTATGCCATCCGAATACTAGGATATCTATTATGATATTAAGAATCTTACTCTTTTCAAATGGTGCGTAATAAGTTTGTGTCCAAAATGTTGACCAGTACTTCACTTTTAATATAAAACATGTTATTTTTTTTTCTCTCTCAAAATTTTAATTAGTTTTCTTCATTTATTTTCATCTCACTTTCAGTGGTTCTCCCTCGTAATTACCGGTATTATTATTATGTATGAACGTTGATCTTCAACTTAAATGCTCTTAGATCTTTAAGAACGTTTTCAAATCTTTAAAAGATTTCTTGAGAGCTTTTGATCTTCAGACTTTGATCTAAGGCAACTTGAATGCCCTTATAAATTGACTGTATATTTTACATTTATCAAGTGTAATATTACTTTTAATCTTATTTATCATATAATAATTATAGCAAAAGATTGTGGAAGTTATACGGTTATTAAAATATTTATATCAAAACTTTTTCTTGAGGTTTTTTATTTCAAGTTATTATTACCATTTTACTCTTATCTCATTAATAGTTAATTGGTTTAATGGCAATTATGGCATAACAAATGTCTTAAAATTGCATAAACAGTTGATATAATAATAATAATAATAATAATAGTAATAATAATAATAATAATAATTTTTTCAACTAACTAGTCACGATCTCTTAAGTTTGTAAAAACTACACTATTCATTACATTTTATGTCATCTTTATACTGGTTTATATATAAGTAAAATAATTTATAATTATATTATTCATTTTACTACTATCAAATTTATAAAATATAATATGCATATTATGTAACTTAAAAATTATAAATATAATATTCGTAAATATCATTTATAACATTTTATTTATATATATGTACAATAATAATATTATTTATATTCGTGCACATAATCGATTATTAAGTTGATTTCACTTTGTTCCGTGCAAATTAATACAAGGCAGTACTAATATTGTACGTCAAATAGGACACCCGTGTGCTATCAGTAACGACATACAACTAATTAACAGTAGGCGCTTTTATTGTAAACCCGCATCTCATGGCACAACTTAAAACGTACACTAAAATAAATTAATACCGAAATTGGCAATTTTTTATTTTTTATTTTTTATTTTTTATTTATTTATTTATTTTTTTTTTTGGGTACAACGAAATTNCCTACCCGGGGCTGTTATCGAACCGAACCGAACCGAGCTTAAGCTGTTCGAGCTCGAGTTCGACTAATTTTCGAACGTGTTCGTGTTCGTTCGTTTAACAATCGAACTAAAATTTACGTTCGTGTTCGTTCGTTTATTTGTTCGACAAGTTCGTGTTCGTTCGTTTATATAATCGAACTGTTCGAACCAACTAAGTTCGACTAGTTCGATTTGTTCGATAAACAAACAACCTGCTCAAATTTCAAACAAACATCCTGTGATTCCTGTTGTTGCCCTTTAACCAAGTTTAAACATAAAATTAAATACAAACTTGCTGACAGAATCAAATAGGACAAATTAATTAGACAACCAAATCAAAAAAAGTCCAGTAAAACCAAGTTCCAACTCCAACAAAAGTACAAAACCAACCACAAATAAATGTAACCAAGTCCAACAAAGTACTAGGGCTGAAAAACAGTCAACAAATATTGAAAACAAACTTCAAGTTCCACTTGTTCAAAGACAAAACACGGTAAAAGCTGAATGAACTGCAACATCGGATTTTATCAAACTTCTTCAACTCTTTAGATTGCAGTCCCCAAAACCCAAATGCAGCCTTAAAATCTTGAATACCTGAACCTGTTGGACACAAAAATAAAACCATTCTATATATAAAATGATGTTACAAATGATTAATTAAGTGATAAAAATGCCTACAAATGAAGTTTGAACAACTTAGTTACCTCATGCATAAAAGACTCCAAGGATCCTAAGAAATAACATCCGGTAGTTCAACTTCTTCAAAAATGACATCTTCATCAGGATCCTAAGAATTGAGAAGAAAAGAAAAAAAGTAAGCACATGATAATAATATTCAAATAATTATATTCATAAGACCATAATGTGTAATATTAACCATACTAACCCGATTATGATGTCTTTTAAGTCCATGAGTATTTCGTACCCAATCAGATGCACATAAGAGCATTTCAACAGTCTCAATAGACATAGAAGCACGACGATTATCAACAACTCTACCTCCAGCACTGAATGTGGACTCAGAAGCCACAGTTGTAATTGGAATAGCTAATATGTCGGCTGCCATCTTAGATAATCGAGGATATTTAAGTTGGTTCACCCTCCACCAATCCAAAGCATCAAAATGAGCATTTGAATCACAAATGAAGACATCTTCTTCAAGATAAATATCCAAATCAGATTTTAAAGGCCGTATGTGATCCCCACTTTTTCTTACAAATGAATCAAACTTCGACTTCCCAGTAATAACATTCCTGCCAACAACTCCATGTTCATTTTTACTATTACCAACACCAACAGCAACATTATCCGATCCTGTTCTCTTATTCACATTTCTCTCTCGGTCAAGTATCAAGTCATTATGAGCAACAACATACGTTTCATAGAGCTCATATAACTCTTTTTTCACCAAATCAACATTCACATCAGATTCATCTTGATAAAGTGCAGGAAAAGAAAACTCAATCAACTTCATTTTGTATCGAGGATCCAAAATAGCACTAAAAGAGAACAACAAATTACATTCTCCCCAATACTTATCAAATTTGGTTGTCATTGCCTGTGCCATAGCTCTTATATTTGAAGAAATGTCGATTAACTTCTCATTTAAGAGCTCTTTTATTCGATAAAGTTCAGGAAGAAATAAATTAGCCGTTGGATACTCAGAACCGGATATCATATTAGTAATTTCATGAAAAACACCTAAAAATTGAGTCACCCCTTCGACCTTCATCCAATCATAAGCATCAGGAACATATTCAAAACCACGATCAAGTTCACCATAACGGGAAAAAACATCCTTAACTTCTAAAGCGGCAGCCAACATCAAATAAGTTCCATTCCACCTAGTTGGACAATCGAGGATCAATTTTTTACAAGGCAATTTAAGTTGTTTGACAATTTTGGAAAAATCATTACAACGAGCCTCTGAACTCCTAATGTACTTTATCCCTTTCCTAATAACTTCAATAACATCCTTAATGTGATCAATCCCATCTTGAACAAGCAGATTTAAAATATGAGCACAACATCTCACATGAAACAACTTTCCATCCAAAGGCAAGGTTTTTCTCAATAACAGATCACCTTTTAATCTCCTAATGCAAACATCATTGTAGGCAGCATTATCAACAGTAATAGATGCCACTCTGTCATCAATTCCCCAATCAAGAAGAGATTTACCAAGAGCATCAGCAACAATGATTCCAGTATGTGGTGGCGGAACATTTTTAAAACTCAAAACACGCTTTTGCAATATCCAATTAGAATCAATGAAATGACCAGTCACAACCATATATTGTATATTTTGTCCACTCTTCCACAAATCCGTTGTAATGCTTATCCTATTCACCTTATTCAACAATGTCTTCACTTTTTTCTTTTCAAGTTCATATGCGGACCGACAATCTTGCTTAACAGAGTGACGACTAATTTTTTGATAAAACGGTGAACAGGCTTTCATGAACTTATTAAAAATAGCATGTTCAATCATGGCAAACGGATATTCATGAACTAAAACCATATGTGCAGCAAGTTCCCGAACTTTAGCATGATCATAGACAAAATTACTTATTGAACTAACTCCATCAGATTCAGCGTGAGCAAAAGAAAGAACCTGTTGCTTCAACTTTGGATTTTGTCCAAGTTGAATTTTTCTTTGCAAACACATACTCAAATGCCTGTTGAATTGAGTGGTCGTCCTGGTCTTATTCACTCTCATTTTTTCCTGGCAGTACTTGCACTCAGCTATCTGGACACCATCATCTCCCTTATATTCTTTCATCTCCTTCCAACAATGGGCAGTCTTCTTCCTTTTCTTTTTCTGAAATGGTGCATCTGGAGCAGGAGCAGCAACATCATCTCGAGCATTTTCCTCCTCTTCGATGTCGTGCAGCAATTGATCATCTTCTTCAGGGATAACATCATTTTCAGCATCACCGTCTTGATTTAAGTTATCCATATGGCATGTAGACGATCCTTGAAATGGAGATGATGTTGAACTTGACATACCTATCAATGAGAAAATATAAATTAAAATCAACTTTTAGACTTCTAAAAAAAACAACAATTAAACAGCATTCAAGATGTAATTTGACTTATTAAAAGCCTTAGATTCTTCAATCATACATTCATACCCCAATGGAATAAAACAGACAACAAATACAACATATAACATGGGAAGGCCTTCAAAATCATTCAACACCACCAATTCTCAAATTATATTCGAATTCTTACAGACACAAATATATCAAGTTAAAGACCTCCAAACAAAATTCCATTTTCAGACTAATGTCCCTCGGCCTGAGTCTCAGTCTCGGGTAACATTTTCGGAAAAAAAAATGAAGAAACTTACAAACACGGCACGCCAACGAGTTCTCGACGACTCAACGTGGAGCTGATGTTGTGGTGTCGGATTTGAAGATGGAAGCCTCGATGAAGTCAGGATTGGAGTGTCCTGCGGGAATTGGAGGTGAAATTCAACCTAATAGACGGAGTAGTTCGAGGCGAAGGTCGAAGGGAAGTCGGGGACGAGCAGGGGAAGATAAATCGGGGACGGACGGACGGAGGGTTGCGGTCTGCGGGAATCGAAGTTGAAATTAAACCTGACGGAGGAGTTCGAGGCGACGGTCGAAGAGAAGTGGAGGACGGACAGAGAAAGATAAATCGAGGACGAAAAGGGTCGGAGCCTCGAAGAGTCGAAGGTGAAGAGAAATCGGTGCCGGAAGTTGTTTGGTCACTTTGGACTTTGGAGACTGGAGTCGCCGCCGCGGGGAAAGTTGAGAGTGAGATGAGAATGGTGAATTGGTGTTTGAATCGTGATGTAGTTTCTAGTCTAGGGTTTGATTTGAAGAAGTATTCTTTTTTTTAATGTTAAATACGAAATATTTATTACATTATATATTTATATATCAGATGACATAATTTTTTTTTTTTCA